ACACAAATGCCAATTCAAACAATTAAACAAATATTTTATATAATATACATATTCCAAGATTTTCCAGATAGATATTTCACTTGTGATCAATATGGTGGCATGAAGGTCCACTGGGAGTGTGTATTTTGTTCATACCAATTTGACGTTGAACATTTATACCTGTTAAAACATGTCACTTTAATAAATGAATACTTTTGTTACTAGATTTTTATTTTACATTAGTATTTTAGTTTTGTACTTAAACATTTATTTCATATAGATTCAACTTACAGCATGAGTTCTCAAAACCCATTCTGTTAATGCATGGCTTGAACTAACAAATGTTATTTACAGTTTATGTTTGAGACATGTGAAAGAGAAAAATGTTATATTAATATATCAGTCTGCTTCTTTCGCTTTATGTAATGCATATTTTAGACTGTTCTTCCACGCTGAGAGTGATGATCCATCAGTATCAGGCCAAGTCAGTCATACTTTAAACTGTCCACAACCTAACTGTTTATATCACTTAAATTATAAGTTCTATATTCTAAACAAGGCAAGTTCATTTAACAAATTAAACTTGATAATGCATTCAATCTTGATTTAAAGAATAATCGTGAATATACATTACAAAGTTTTTCTTTTTTTTAAGATTTAAGGTTTTGTTGGTAAACTTGAATAAGAAAAGTTGACTTAAACGAAAGTAATTGTCGAGTTAAAAAGTGTTCTGTTCCTTTAAACAGCTGTTTTAATTTGAATCCTTTTATGACATACACAAATTCTTGCATTTACCATGATGAAATTAGTTTCAAGAATAAGCAAATCTTAATTAGTGGGTGTATAATGGTAATAAAAATATGATTATTTTTTTTAACTAAATTCCATCAAATTGAATTCAAGAATTATTCTAGGTCCACTTATTGTAATACCCCAACACCCATTGCATAATGTGGTAAGTCTGCCCGCTTACACCATTAGGTAGAGCATTGGATTTGTAGTTCAGGTGTAGCTGTTTTAATTATAGGCGTAATTTCTTAATAACAATTGCTTTCGGACAATGAGTTTAATGGTCATTTGTCTTTCATGGCGGAACACATAATGCCGGACGGGGTGGGGGGGGGGGGGGGGGGGGGGGGGTGGGGGTATACTGTAATCACTTTGTATCAATCCTATATTATAGGATTCAAACTTTATTCATATGTCTACCTAATCAAGGCGATGTGCCGAAGTTTAAATATCAGTGAGCCAATTGTCTATGGTGCTCTTTTGTAGCAAGCGCGTTTTCTCTGAGAACGAAAAGCGCAAAGAACAGTGACAGTACGACAGAAAAACGCGACATTACGTTGGTCTGTCACCATTGTACTGTTGTGCTTCACCATTGTACTGTCGTATTGTTACCATCGTAATGTCACCTTCTTAACAAGCATGCGCAAACATATTTCACTCAGCATGGCGTCAGATGAAGAAAGGTGCTTTTTAATATATTTAGTTCTTATAACATAGTCAAACGCTTTCCTCCATGTTGATATTTTATCATGGGCATTCTTGAGGGGAAGGTGACAGTACGGTGGTGACAGTACAAAAGTACGATAAAGACAGTACGATTGTGACAATACGATGGTGACAGTAAGATTGTGACATTACGATGGTGACAATACAACAGGACGATAATAACAAAACGACAGTACGATTAGGGGAGTAGGATGGTGACAATACGATTGTGACAGTACGATGGTTACAATTCGACAGTACGATGAACTATCATCATCGTGGTACTTCGCAATAGTAATAGTGCCGTCGCTGTACTGACTAAAGGTAAACAGGTAAAGGTCACATCTGAAAGTCAGATGTTAGACAATTTCGTGTCTGCTCTATAAATAAATTTACTCCCAAGGAATAAGTTCAATCTGTTCAAATCTTTACATCAACAATTTTGTTTTGTTTTTGGTTTTACGTCACATCGACACAGTATAGGTCATATCGCGACGTTCCAGCTTTACTGGTGGAGGAAGACCTCAGGTGCCCTTCCGTGCATTATTTCAGGCACAAACGGGCACCTGAGTAGAACCACCGACGTTCCGTAAGCTAGCTGGATAGCTTCCTCACATGAAAGAATCCAAAGTCCCTGTCGGGATTCGAACCCACAGCGGTGAGGGGCAAGTGGTTTGAAGTAAACGACCTTAACTACTCGGCCACGGACGCCCCTTACATCAACAAATTGATGTAGCACATGTCACCACTGTGCTGCATGAAGGCCAAAGGCACTCTTGAAGGTCAAGTATCAGACAATATCATGTCAAACCCTAACCCTTGGTAAGAGTTTCTTCAAAATTGGCTCAAATATTCACACCAGCAAAGTGGTGTGCAGAACCTATGGTACCGCTGTGCCGCTCATTTGTTTTGATATTTTCATCAATTTAGAAGTCAAATGTCAGAAAATTTTGTGTCCGCAATATAAATTCTTTACTCAATGTAGGACTTCCTTTAAACCGGGCTTAAAAGGTGATAAATGCACTGACATCAAATCATACGCCGTAGAGACATTGCGTTGGTCACTCGAGTGACAACAGCTTAGTAAGTCCAAAAAATTACAGATTATATAAATGTTCTGCATATTTTCAGGACATTAAATCATTAATTGTTTAATGTGTCATTAATATATGTGTTTAGAATATTGAAATTAATCTGTCGAGAAAGTTCTAGCTTGTGAGAGTTATATAGAATGTTTATCTTCACACTTTTCTCTATCTGATACTATTATTTGTACTGTTTTGTTATCATCTTAACTTTATACCATATATATGACATAATTAACTTGGATTGGAATATGCTAATAAGAACAAATACTTGCTTCAGACTGTAGGCTTGTTTCAATTACCATGTGCTTATGCAATAGTATAACATAATTGTAATCTGTTTTACGGATAACTTATGCAGCAATCTGGTAAAATAAGTTAAGTTTATGGGAACTTTTAAAATATGAAACATTCAAATAGGAAAAATAAACTGGATATTATTAGGAAGATTATATCAAAGTTATTTTAATATTATGGACCTACTGCCTCTATTTGTCTTTTTACTTTGTATGTCTATAAAAATAATTCAGTTCATGCTTTCATGCAGTTGTGTCATTAATGGCATCATATAAGTTCTAAGTTGTTAAAATGAAATAAAACATTAACTCATACTCTACGAGTATGAAGGGTATTTGCTTCCTTACTTTGTTTGAAATTGCAATATTGAGTGTTTTACCTTATAAAGGATTTCTTCATTTGTTATTCCCCAACTAAATAGGTTGGGGCATAGGTTGATCGGGTGGATTATCTGTGCATATGTCTGAATGTCTCATACGTACAACTTTATTCTTGTCCGAGCAATAACTTGATAAGAAATAAGAAAACCCGTTGTTGCAAACACATAGATACCCTTTAGTATGACAATTTTGATTTATGCCATCTTCTTTTACTATAAATGACTTATATCTTCCTATCTTTTACGGCAACATAAGATAATTTGGGTGTAGTTTGGTATTTCTCGGTAGCTTTCAGTATTTCGGTACACGTATTGTCATTCTTTTCTTCTTTTTATTTTATTTTACCCAGACCCACCATACTTTAAAAAAGACATAAAGTACTCGAGAACAAGAAACTGTGGATAAAACACATTTTCTTCGATCGTATTTAAGTGTGGCGAAAGAGCCTATCAGGAAATATTAATTTAAGTTGAAATTGAAGTAACAAAATATATCTGAAGGTGTAAAAATTGGTTTATATCATTTCCATTGCTTTAAATAACTAATGTATTTCTTTATTATGTCTACTAAAGAGAATTTAAGTATGGTTCAATATTTCCGGTAGTTTTCAGTAATTCGGTATACATAACTGTATGTGCATTTTTTTTATTTTATTCCAACCACCGTTACATTAGACATTACAAAATACTTGAAAAAATAATACAGGAAAATAGAGAATTATTGTTTGAAATTACAAATAAAACAAAATAAAATAAAGAAGCAAAGATATATAGAATTAACATAAAATTACCCTACTCATTTTAACCAAGTATAAAACTTATAAATTATGCGATTTTTTTTGGATTTTTTATTATAACAACTTAAAATGTACATAGTATTTATGAAAAACCAAACAATATTAGAATTTTAGTAGCTACTTGGAATATTTTTGTTATTTTAAGTTTTACATAAAATCGGCGGCCATATTGGAAGCCATCCTTGATTCTGAAGGGTTGTGAAAGCAAAATTTTGTAAAGTTAAGACTATATACTTGCTCTGGTAAGTTTCAGATTTGGACAATTATTGTTTGATTAAATGCCTAAATGGCCTTTGGCTCTTAGGCGATATAAGCGTCAATGAAAAATAACTCTTTTTCCACTTTTAAGTCTTAAACTATTAAGTATGTGATAAATAAAATATTTAATTCGAGTAAGTTCATTATTGAATTTATTGAACTCGTTGAAAAAAATATCATGCTCGCCAAATAATTTTATTCAACTCGTTCAAAAAAATCAGTATTGAACTTACACTCATTTAATATCCTCTATTTATTTCACCCCTGTGCCGCGATTTATGGGATAAATTTTAAATATTAGATGCATTTTACATTGTTTTATACTTGAATGTTATATATTTGTACGGATCGTGAATATCACGTGATACATTAAATGTTACATGTTTGTACTGGTTGAAAACATCCGATGTTTGATATCTATTTGAATATTACAGGTAACCAAATAATCGTTTTACATACAGATCAGGTTTTTTTATTCCTTTTTATATTTAAGAATTTGTCGGCCATAAATTGAAAAGACGCCTAGTCATGAATTTGTTTATCATCCCGCTTATCTGTTATTTGCCATTGCCAATGCTCTAAATCTTAAACACTCCTTTTGCACCTAGATTTTCTAAAATTTAATGCCAGGGATGACAAGAAAACTTGACAACAGCGTACGTTTTTTTATTGAATGATCACCCAATGCAAACTGCCATCTGATAAGACAGACCTTACTGCGGCTGTACCATTTACTGACTAAACAACATAAAGTATAGTAATAAAATATAGTGATAAACTGAAGCGTTGATGAAAAAATATGTGATTTTATTTGATACTCTTGATACAAATCTTTACAAAATTTAAAGTAAGGTTAGTAAATCTTTTTTTTAGAATAACGTATGTTTCGCTGCATTTAAGTAAACATCTTGCTAAACTATATGTCAATGTTCACATGTTACTGGATATTCGTTAAGTTGATTACTTTTATCAGATTTTTACATTTCAAATTATCATGTTTCTGCATTATTTTCCTTCATGCGATTACTGAATTTAAACAAGACCACTGCCGAAATTTAAAAAATCAAACTTTAAACGGAACAAAACGTAGCACATTTACATCTCTTGAATCCTTTGATTATGAAATATTCAGGCTATGAATCAGCTGATACTCCGGAGATTAGTTTGGACAGTTGTTCTCCTATCCAGCATTGTGTATCAACATGTATACACTAGAGACGGACAATTCTATGGTGGATCTATGTCTTTTAGACTGGAACAAAAGGATGATGGCAGCTCCCTGGTAATTTTATGTTTCTTTTTCGTTTTCTATATGTGAGAAGGCATGCAAGGAAAGAATTAATCAATGTGTAATTCAGCGCTAATCGGGTAAGTATTTTACGAGAACGAAAAGGTCAATCTCACCGCCACATCCATATGCACAAGGGACTTTAATTAAACTTACACAGTAAATCAATTTTCTATTTAAATCCACTGATAATACTTTTCACATTCGTAAAACGAAAAAGTAATAAGTTATGTAGAACCGTACATTTGAAAATTTCTTGAAACCCTCTAGATATTGTTTGTAAAAACATACTTCCATGAAGATTTAACAATCATTGGTTTGGTATCCATCATATATGCAATTGTTATTTCAGGTCTTTATCGAACTTATATCTGGTTGGGTACTCGGCAAAGGCCCATGTGGACCAACATGTAGCAAAGCTGATATTGGTAGATCTACCCGTATAACTAGGTCATCTATGATGTCATCAGACCCCGGCCACTTTGGAAAATTCACTCTGGAATATAATAATAAAGACAGGCGATATATAACAACCGATATTTATACAAGAGTAAACAAAACCTACATTGAAACAGTGATAGACGTTGATGAGCATACAAAATGGGAACAGGAAATTATTCGATTTAGCTTTGTAGAGGAGAAAGAAATACCAGTGATAACTATCAGGTTTTATGATAAACTTTACAAACTTGTTCATGAAATTAAAATAACGAATAGAAATGAAATATACACAAAAAGTATTGCATTCCACCATCGCAGCCAAAAATACTCATTATTAATTGCTCTTTCAATCAAAAATAAAAACAGATGCATATGAAATATATCAAATGGGACCGGTACATGTGCTCTACGAGGCATTAACCGATTATTTTACCACATACTCGAAACTGTAATTTTGTCATGCTAATCTTTGTATAAACATAAGAAGGGATTCAGGACATTGACTATGTTATTTTTAAGTACAAATTATACGAATTAGAAAGCCAAAACCACTTTTAGTTAAATGTATGAAAACCCAAACGACCAAAACCAACAAAGAACTTAATTATTTTCTAAAACATCGAACAGTTAAAAAAAATTAAATTAAAAAATGAAACCTTAAAAAATATGTAGGTCTTATATTTGGCTGTCATTAAATTAAATCTCTGTTGCATTTCAATGTCACCTTTTATTTTGATATTCAAAATGCAAACATTTATGTTAAATTTTACACGACATGTAACTTTCAGTTTCCACGGATATTCTTGGCACGATCTTTCAATGCAGCCACCTGGCATTGACGTGCCATGGCTTTTACAAAGCAGGATATCATCCCGTATTCGAAGTGATACGAACACAACAAACAATAGTCCAAGAGCTCTCACTAGACCGTTTTACAGGTAAGATGTTTTAAATCATTACTATGCAGTCTCTTCTTGTGTGTAAAATTAACATCTTTTGAGTACTCACATGTTTTTAAGTCTGCACGAAAGGTAAACACGGTATGAATACATAAATAGTTTTTAGTTTCAGTATAGTTTCAGTGTTCAAAAAGGCTTTCCTTTCTTTAATCGTGTCGGGTTCTACAATTAATAGTTTAACTTTTGATATGAATGTCAGTACAAAATGAAGAAAATGCACATACATTGTGGGTGTAATATTTTTAATTTTTTACAACTATCCAGTAAAACGTGCATGCGCAGAAAACATCCAGGAGAGCAAATAACAAAAAATTAATTCAGAGATTAGTTTCCACAAAATAATTAAAGCGATATAAGGGCCACTATGGCCCTTTTGTTTTAAATATGCTTTCAATATATAACTATTTTCATTTGTTGATTTGTAAAAGCGTTAAAATAAACAAGTAGATTGTGATTCATTGATTTTACATCTTAAATATTCAGGATGTAAAACTATTTTGTACTCTCTTTTCATTAAACAAACTTTATGTATACTAGATAATGCTGCATGCAAATTATTTAAGCTTTACTCTCAATGGTTTTAGAGAAGAAGAATTTTTACTTTATACGTATAAGGAAGATCCTTGGGTGGGGCCAATTTTTTACCCAAGGTCAGTTATGTGTAGTATTCATATGTGTATAATTTATGTAGAGTTTCATTAAATTGATGACACACAATACATTCTAAGCTGTAGACCTTACACTTTCAGAGAACAAGATTTTTGAAGATTTCATTTTAGCTCTTCTGACCCAGATGTTCAATGGAGCAGATGATGCCAAATAATTTGAACAATTTAAGTACATTATAGAGAATTATGCTGAAAACATCTAAAGAAAATTACATTATTTTGACACAGTGGTTTCAAAGAAGGAGTCCATGAACAGGCTCAATCAAACCGAGCCTGCAACATTTTCAATTTTGACGTGTTGGGCTTTCTTTTGGAATTCTTTTTTTTTTTGCTCTATTCCATAGTGATCATTGATTCTCCATAACATCCAGTGACTTCTATAGCAACCAGTGGTTTTTAATTTCCTTTGCAGCCATTTACTTTGAATAGCAAACAGTATTTTCCGATGCAACCAGTGACCTTTCATAGTAACCAGTGACTTCCCATAGCAACTAGTGACTTCATTATTGACTTTCCAAAGCAACCAGAAACTTCCAAAGCAATGAATATTCGTGTAAATTACTTTGCATAAATATGTTTGTCCGAATATCTATGCTGTACCTTGTATAAAAGTATTGCCTTGAATTTGGGAAAGAAACAAATGAACATTTATATTATGTATTAAATTGCAATTGAACCATTAATAAAGTATATGAAAATTCATTACTTTTCTATACTAAAAATGTTACGCTGGACATGGTTTCAAATATTTACATCACAGCTGTGGAATTTGATGGAGATTTAATTCGGTGTTGTCAATCAATATATGTAGAAGCTTGAATAATCTTAAGAGCCTCCGAAAGTTTACGTCTTAATGTTAGGTCACAAACATATACTAGTATATATATATATATATACTTACTTTAACACTATAGATTTCTTTGTTGTTTGATATGCATAGTTATATCCGATATATTGCCAAATATTTAAAGATCTTTTAAAAAGCTTTATTCTGTTTCACTATACTTACAAAATTAGTAAAAACAAAGTAAAGATTATATGTGGGCCAAATGATCAATATGATAAATAAACAGCATTTAATTTATCAAATATTTAAAACTTTGATCGATTTGAAAATTAATTGTTTCAACTGTTTTATCTGAACAATTAGAAATATATTTTACTAAATGGCGAACTAAATAGGCGATTCCCACAAGTGGCTGAAAAGAGAGTACAAAATAGTTTTACATCCTGAATATTTAAGATGTAAAATCAATGAATCACAATCTACTTGTTTATTTTAACGCTTTTACAAATCAACAAATGAAAATAGTTATATATTGAAAGCATATTTAAAACAAAAGGGCCATAGTGGCCCTTATATCGCTCAACTGATTATGAATGTTCAATTCCAATATCAAGGATATTTGGACTTGAACAGTGCATGTATCTCCTAGAGCGTTAACAAGGTTTTATTCATATTGGGGCTGTGTTTCCTAGTTTTTGACCTCACGCAACCCATATTCGAACTTGACCATGAAATAATCATAACAACCTTTCTGACCAATGTCCAGGGAAATTGAACTCAAATAGTAGCCCATTGTGTGTTAACAACGTTTCTCCATATTTGGGCTGTGTGACATAGTTTCTGACCACAAGGACACACACTTCTTCGAACTTGACCTAGAAATCAGCAAAAAGAATCGTTCTGACCAATTTCCAGGATATTTGGATCAAAACAGTGGGCTCCAGTGTGTAAATAAGGTTTTTCCATATTTGGACTGTGTGACCTAGTTTTTGACTCCAGGTGACCCATATTCAAACTTGACCTAGAAATTATCAAAAAACAATTTTTCTGACCAATTTCCAGGATATATGGATCAAACAATAGTCTCTAAAGTGTTAACAAGGTTTTTCCGTATTGAGGCTGTGTGACCTAATTTTTGAACAAAAATAACCTATATTTGTCAGGAGAAATGTCTGCCTTGATGTTATTTAATCTACGGAAAAATTTAGTAATAAATACTAGAACCAATTTCCAAGATATGGGGGGCTGGTCAGCACCGCCTGACATAAAATTGAAATATTCTCAGTTGGAAAAACTAGCATATAATTGTTTAGTTAACACTATTTCTTTTTTAGGTATTTTACCTTTTTTCTATCTCAAATCCATATATATATTTAAACAACAAACTCTGATTATTATTTACACCCAAAACAAAGAACTCTGATCATTATTTACACCCAAAACAAACACACGTCATTTATCAACCACTTATACGAAATATCTTTTCACGTATACGTCTTTTAAACGAAACAAAACTAGACACCTGGCGAGCCCAAGCTCTAAACAACTTATGACCAAACAAAACAATAAAATCACCACAAAATGAAGAACACAAACAATGAATATTTTTACAACTCTAAGATAACAATATTAACTTCACATAATCTAATCAGCATCAGAAAACAACTCAAACTAAAGCACCCAATATTTACATATATCCTAAAAACAAAGCATCGACTAATATAAACTTGACCAGACAAACATTCAACCAATATCAACCAATTATATCTTCACAAACAGATATAACTCAACAACCAAACAACTAATTACAACCAATAAACCCTGATCAAGTAAGATCACCACAATAACATTCAACCAGCTTCAACAAATCAACAAAACTCCCTTCAAAACAACAAATTGTCTTCTCAACAAAAAAATAATTTATTTGTATTTGCTATTATTCAAATATTATCTTGAACTTAGACAAGGGCATTTATGTGAAATATCTGATGAATTTTTTTCTATCCATATTATAAACTTTGATTTTATTTAAACCTTTAGATAATGCTGATTAAAGTATCATCTGTTAAATAATTCAAACTTGTAATTAAAATCAAGACGTAATCAATTATGTTTTGTTACATTTTACTATACTGACAGGATAGTAATAGACATGATATCAACTATTCACATCCCAGTAGTGGATGCCGATGGGGATTTCATCAAATGTGAGCCAGCAATGACTGTAGAAGCTGGACTACTAGCATTACACCCGCTACCAAATGTAACCGTCTTCGAGGTTGGTTCATACTCTTTTATATACTTTTACAAATTGTTATTTTTTGTTTCAAAATGCGCACTTCATTCTGTACTTTCGCTGAGTGTACACCACTTACAAGGATATTTGAAAAGGACAACTTAAAATAACAAAATACGTTATACAATTGACTTCATTTTGATCGGACAAAGTAGGCGTTTAATTTCTAATGACGTTATTAAAACATAAGATATGTACAGACTGCTGTCAAATTCTTTAAACGATGATCAAATAACCATAAGCATGCTGGCATCGATAGTTGCTAGCCTGTAATGTGTTAGGGTTGGGCAAAGACGCCATCCGATGAAAAAAGAGATTATATGTACATATTTAAAATATCTAAAGTGATTTGCGGTTTACTTAAACATTTTATGATGAAGAACTGCACAATTACTATCAACGCATCACAAGCTGTAGGATACACCGACAACAGTTGGATTGCAGTTACAGCCAGTGTCCGTGATTACAACAGAAGAGATATGCATTACGGTGGAAATGTATATTTAGCTGCTGGAAAATATTCATTAAGCTCAACCCCTGTTCAGGTATCTTTTCCTAGTGACTTTATTTTTACTATTGTAATTGATATCCAGTTAAATAGATCATGATTTACCTTAAACGATGTTCGGTTTCTTTTTTTATACTCATACAGACTATCATAAGACAATAGTATTATAATAGTATAATGATATATCGAGTTATTGCAGACAAAGTGAGTGTAAGTAACAAACAAACTAAACTTTATCTTTTTTGATCTTTATAGTTTTCTGTGCAAGTGTTACAAAATATAGCGGTCCCTAAATTTGTAGAACCGACTTGGAAAAGCGGACATACGTTTATTATATATGCGGGCTCGACATGGTCGACTGAAATATACGCCAAGGCATCAACAAATACGTAAGTATTATATCACATTTACTTTATCAGTTGCCAATGCCCGTGTTTTATCACATGTTTAACATTTTAAATTTAAATCTGACAATACTTTGATGAAGTTCTTATGGCTTATAAAGCCAATACTAGAATATTTAAGTTGTTTTGCATCGAATCCGATATCAAAATATCATATAATTTATATGATTAGATATTAACTGCTTTAAAGTTACTTAAGTTTTGAATATATATTGACGCACGTCCAGTTTATCAACATTTATTACGCATTTAAAAGCTAAAATTCTTCATAGTAATACCCCAGTCCAAGTTGGTCTATGTAAGAAATTCAAATTTCATGTTTTCACTTTTCAGTAAATAACATACTAAATGTAGAGCCTTATTATTTTCTGATATCCTCTTTCCATATAAGCATATGTCACTATTTCAAAGTAGCAAGGTGAAACAGATATTGTATTCTCTGTATTTTAACGGTATGTGATATTTAATTCGTATAAAGTATGTACAGCAAAAGCTGTGTTTTTGTGTTACAGTACTATTGATGCATTTAAAACTATTGGAAAACTGAAGGGTAAAATATTGAGCAATCAAATTCAACAGGATCTTAAGCGACAAGAACATGTTTTTACAAAAGTGTCATGGAAACCTACAATTGCAGATATTGGGAGACATATTGCATGTTTCAGACTCATTGATAGCACTGGGTAAGTTATGTTCTAACAATAGAACTTACGTTTAAAGATTATGTTCTACGGTATTTTTTCGGATATGTATATGGTTTTCGTTTTTTCGTACATCTACAAGTTTTGCTTTCATGCCGTCCTTCAAAATAACGTTTACGTTTCCCGTTTTGTCTAGTTTAACATACTTGAACAAAAGTGCCGGAACAATAAACATTATACAAAAAAACTGACATTATCTGATGCTTCTTAATTCAATATAATGCCGACCGGTTTCTATATCATCAGGGCAAAAAATAGAAACATGTATATATGATGATATAGAAACCGGTCAGCATTATATCTGTGAAATTGAGAAACGCCAGTTAATGTCAGTTATTTTATATACGTATATATAAAATTTCCAACCCAGAAAAACTAAAATGTTCATGAGCCCTTGGAACATCATTATTTAGGTATGACATGCTGTTAAAATAATTAATTTAGAGTTAGGAATCATAATTTAATATAAGAACGATTATAGGTCACCAAAAGGAACATGGGGACTGTTAGATTTCGTTGATGTTATAGAAAATCGATTAATTGTCGTTTAATTTCAGAGTAAATTCCCAAGAAGATAGGTGTTTCTTGTTGCATGTCCGGCGTACGTAATAATAATATTTTGTTAAATTGTTAAAATTTCTGGGTTTTTTTCCATTATTACGAGGAGTGTTCAAATTTGAATGTATCGTGATGCGATATTTTTGTTGTTATATAACGCTAACTAGCGTGCTATTGTTCACAACCCGGCCAAATTATTTTTAAAATGCTTTACTTTTTGCTCTGCCCACTCGCTAAATAACGTGCTGTAGCTCCGCGCCCCGCTTATTAGCGTGTTTACACTCCGCACCCTGCCGTTTTTAACATTTATTTAACCTAGAGATTTTAGAAATTGAACGGCGGGGGCGCGGAGTGACAACACGCTTGTAGGCGGGGACACAGGGCGATATTTTATAAATAAAACGTCGCCCTGGGAGAAAGCGGAGTGAGATTTATTAATACCTATGTTACTATATATAGTAACACAATCTAGGGTATTTCAGGGCCATTATGGCAAGATCTAGGTCATTATGCAATTTTGGCCGCCTTGCTACTCTGCATTATTTTTCCATAATTGGCGAGTGAATTAGCGCACGTGCAAAATGACGTAATCAACTCTCAGTGACTTTCAAGATGGCTGCTGACGTTGAATGAACTGTAGGAATGTCAATTGCACACAAAATTTTAAGTTTAAATGACGTAATCAACCTCAATCAACAAAGCTTAACATTGAAGATTTATAAACTCAAGAAAAAATACAATAGCTCTACCCAAGACAAAACATGACCCTCAGAACTTCCAAAAATCATTTTAGTTAGACGGTAGCAAAAAAGATCGGATCGATGCCGATGGAAAATTTATAGAGCAAGACATAAATCTCGGAAACCGTTCTTGACGGCACTATAGTTTATAAAAGTATTTATCGATATAAACAACAATAAAACAACATTGTCTCATATTTATTTTGTTTTGTCATGCTTTTAAAGGTATTTGGAGGATTAAACTGAATGACAGCTACATGTGTATTTGTTTACATTGACAACAGTCTGTTTCTTAGAAAGGGCGACAACGAAGATTAGCGGCGATGTCTAAATGCCGTATTTCGGACATAGGTATTAAAGACGTTAATACTTGGTTGCTGCTCGGCATTATGCGATAATGGCCCTCGAGTCCATAATGTCCATTATGCACATCTTCGGGCCATTGTCAATAATGCCGAGCAGCAACCAAGTATTAACCTCTAAATAAAAGGGTGGTGGCGCGGAGCGAAAACACGCTAATAAGCGGGACGCGGGGCGAAGTTTCATAAAAAACTTCGTCCTGTGGAGCGCAGAGCGAGATTTAAGGAATTAAACGGCGGGGATGCGGAGCGAAAAACATGCATATTGGGGGGGGGGGGCTTCAAAACGATATTTAATGAATGTATAAAACTTTGGGGGCTCGGAGCGAAAACACGTTTTTAAGCGGGAGGCGCGGGGCGAAAGTCGAGATTTTTACTAGTAAAACGGCGGGGCTCGAAGCGAAAAAAAAATGCTTATAAAAGGGGTGCGGAGCACACAGTCGTCCTTTTAAAAAAAATTATAGCATGCTTGTAAGCGTCCTTTAGCAATTTATATTTTGCTTCGCGGCCACGCCGTATTACAAATAAATATCGAATTTTCGCCCCGGGCCCCCGCTAATATCATGTTTTCGCTCCATGCCCCGCCTTTCTAGTTTGTTAATTCTCGACTTTTCGCTTGGGGGATGCGGGACGAAAACTCGAAATGGCACAAATAAGCCACCATACACATTTTCAAAATCTAAGTAAATGCATTCCATCCTATTTGTCACTTCACAAAAATTACTACACCCATTGTTTAGATATATGTTAAAGTTATTACATTACGATTATCAAAAATGAACGTTATTATGAATGTCCTGGTAATAGAACATCCCGGTTGAATGTTATCGTAAGCTAGCTGAAAAATACAACCAGCAACAAGTACAGCTGTTTGTCTTGCCAATCAACAAAAAAGAAGTATACAATACCAATTGTGTGTAATATTACGTGATACACGGCAAAGAAAATTTAATCTTAAACACCCCGCTCTTTCCAGTTATATAAGTGATGAAATCGTCCAATGATACTTTAAACAGAGGACTTTTGTATGCGCTTTTTGATCATTATATTAATTAGTCGCGCTTTTTTCTTTCATCTATCGTAAAAATAAAACACGTTTTACTTACTTACTTACCGTTTAAGGTCATGCCAACATTATTGTTTTCCGGGTTACATAACTGGAAATCATGTTTATTAAAGCATTTAAGTATGAGAATAGAAAGAGAATAAAATGTTCGCTTATGTCAGAAATGTTCAAGTTAATTACCAGGGCATCGGTTATTTATCAAAATAAACTGTTCCAAATTTATGGTTAATAATTAAGATTATTTTTAATTGTTAGTGAAGTTGATGAGAACTGATAAAATCATTGTAGGCTGACTGGCAGGATATGCATCCATAGTTCAATCGTTATACCCAGTGCTAGAAAGACAACGAGTCTTAATATAAACAATGACTTACTCTGACCTACCATTTTTGTATTACAGTATACCAGTAGATAATGTGTAGAGAGTTATATGAAACAGCATTAGTGAACAGATTTAAATGTGGAATCACTGGTATCAATGTAAAGCAAAACATTTATATATGCACAATAACATTGATTTTCTCGTGCTTTGCACAATATTGAACAATTTAACTAGATGCATTCATATTTGACACTCTTCGTATGTTAAACTGTCTTCAATAATCGTTTGAATTGATACGATTTTATATTATCAATGTATCATTTATATTAAGAATATACTAAATCAAAAGAAAGTGTCGTTTTAGACATAGAACATATTCGTCTTTGTGATCAATTTTTTTACATTGTTAATTGATAGAATTAGTAAGTAATGAAGTCAAAAGTGTTTTTTATGTATTTTCATGCCTAATGAAAAATAACAACAAATAAATTACACACGCAAAGAAATTATGTTTGAGATAAAAAAAACAATGGTAAATTTACAATGATATACTTAATTCAAAATTACCTCCAAAAACTTCCAATAAACATGAATGCAAATAAATCATTTTCCTTTTCTTTCAACAGCTGACGTTTACAATTACTCTTCCAATTCTGTAATGGTATGTATTATAACAGAAATATACTTACTTACTGTCTGTCTATATTACACGCACCCTTCTATTTCAATTAAACCGTTATAATTAATTAGTCAAATCCTACCATAACTGATCGTTTGAGTAATCATTTATCTCTGATTTTAACAAATTAAGGTGCGGTTATTAATCTTCAACATTCTAGGGGAAGCCATATTTCGTAGATATACCTTCTCCACATCATATGGTCAACTGCACACTTCATACCACATGTTTACTACCTTTGTACGTCGTATCATCTGTGTGAGTATATTTAATCTCAATTGTCTCAATAATTGAAGATAGTCTGCACATTACTCTTTGATCTTTTTGTTAACCTGGTTAATAACAGTTTTTTCCTTTTTCTTCTTTTTAGAAAAAAAACAAACAAACAAAAAACATACGACATATGATTTAATTTTCGAAGAATCATACTAAAAACATATCACTATTCGTTACAGAAAAGTGATTGACATACAGGTGACTGAAAGCTTCATTGATAAGTACCAGATCAGCAAAATACAGAATGTTACACATAAAGGTCAGAAAGTTTACCAAGCAGAGCTTCGATTTGAATCTTTTGTGCCGGGAAACAAGAAAATTTGCATGGTAGCAAAAGACATCAATGGGTAATTTCTAGATGTATTTATTAACCCCCTACGATTTCACCGAAGGGCAATATAAGTTAATCCTCCGTCCGCCCGTCTACATAACTGGATCCCGTGTACTAAAATATCTTTATGAAACTTGAAATATTGGGTTAATTGCAGTTTGGAGATTATGCACGTTTTTCTTAGCTTCCTATTTTGAATAATTTGGTTGATATGGCAACAAACAGACTTAAAGTATAGCTAAGATAATAATATTTGTGATAACTTTAGAAGTATTGACAATATTTTGATAAAACTTAAATTATGGATAGATGGCAGTAAGGGCACGATGCACATCATTGTAAGCTTGACTACAGGAAGTATATACTCAGAGTTGTCTTACTCATTCAGCGTTGGCGACCGTGCCCAGATCTCTGATTAAAGTTTTTACGCAGTAAAATCTTTTTCACTATCACTTCTTTATTTTTGAAGGTATTTACTTGTTTATTGTTCTTTGCCATCACTCACTTCATTTATAACAATGTTAATAAGTCTAGCATCTTTATTGCAAGAATAATCTCCTCTTAAGTCAAATGATTTTTAAAAATGCTATATTCTGGTTACAACCAGTGTCCGTCATGTTTCATGAGATCACTTGTGAAGAACTTTTCCGACAGATTTATTTCAAATAGATAAAAGTTGAAACATTAGTTAAACATATTTATCCTGAAACTATTGCATATTTTGATTATTTGTGTATAAACATAATTTCCAAATTAGGCATTTACTATGATACAGACCATCTAAGATCTCAAACGATTTGATTTCATTCATGTCTTCCACAATGGCATAACTGAGTAGCCCTTAAGGAAGTTGCTGAGGTTCTCATCGACAGAAGTGTGATATTTTTTTTACCAGATAACTGTTTAAAAGACGTTTGCAGAAAGATGCATGCTATACAAAGATATAGCCCTTATTAAAAATCCTCAGTTCGTGAGAATCCTCAGTTAACTTGTGAATGGTTGCCATTTTTAACTAGATTTTAAATAAATCAGAACATAGAACACAAGATTTTACTATAAAATTTGTTTGAAATAAGAACAAAGTGATATTAAATATCAACATTGTAATCATAGATATTAAATTCAAAAAATGGATATTGATTGATAAAAAACAAAACAAAACAAAACAAAAAACACCAAAATAAAAAGTATTTCCAAATCTTTGGAAATCTGATCCTTATTTATTTTTTTTTGCAATCTATGTTTGATAAAATGTACATTAATGATATATGGTCCGATAACTTTTAATCGTTTGCAATTCATACAAAATACATAGCAACATTTGCTTTTGCTGGTAAAAGAGTGCTTTAGATGCTGAACGTGTACGAATGCATTGTCTTTCAACTTTGCAGAGTTGAAAGTGAAAACGTTTGCATCACCACCCATATAGACCCTAAAGGTAATTATTTTGCAAGAAAAGTAATATTATTAAGAATAATGATTTGATAAAAAAGATCAAAAGAATTTTCGGTGTTCTTCTGTCTGTTACTAGATGTTTTCAAAAAATAAGTTACATAGATTATACAAATGATTTAAAGAAATGTCAAATATAAGTAACGTTTGCAGTCTTCCCTTAAATGTGACATATTGATTCATTTTCATTGCCGATATTTTATATCACACATAATATAGTATAGGTCATTTTAGTAAATTTGTTTATTTGTTTTTTTTCCCTATTTTTGCAATTTTTCGTAAATATTGTTTGTCAAAATGAACATGCGAAAATGTTTAAAGACAATTTAAATCGACTAATAGCTATATTTTAATACCCTCGGATATTAACCTGCTAACCTTATTTTTATGCATGTCCAGAAAAATATTTCTTAAATGTGTAAAAACTGATATTGAAGATCGATATATTTGCAGATGCGTGCATGTCAGCTCCATGTCATAACTCCGCCCCCTGCGTCACTGATACTAAGACCGGGAGTTTTAAATGCATTTGCATACCTGGAACATCTGGCAAGCAATGCCAGATAAGTGAGTATTACATGTATAGCGAAATGAACTATATCCGCGGAATTGTAACTGTAGCATTCCAAGCTAAAGATAACTGACGTTCAAATGTTTTCTTTGATTTCTAAGTATATAGACACCGTTCATATCAAGTGACGCAGGAATTTGCAATTAACGTAAAAGTAACGCCAAATCTGTGCAACGCTATCTCCAAAATGAATAACAAAGTAAGTAAACGAATCAAATTGTTTTATTCAAATTTAAAGAAATGAATTAGCGCATACGGCTGCTACGACATTATACTTTAACCAGCATTACAATTTTTTTCGGGAATATGTTTATTTCTTTAGATCATTCATGAGAAAGACAACCTGATTACGGTTTTGAAGGTGACATTTTCATTTCGTCAAATAAATATGTACATTTCACACATTTAAAACATTATTCTTTTCATATTCTTTATACCGTAGACATTTTGTCAAACTAAAAGTGTCAATAGGAGGAGGCTGGTAAAATAGGATTTACCTACTTTTAATGAGATAAACGCCGTTGCTTCAGTGCTTCATTCACGAATTCGGCGTTACAACGTGAAAATGGTCTCAATTACGTTTTACCTGCTAAAGTAAGTGTAATCTTACATGAGTAGATTGGAAAATGTCACAGGTACACCGAATATAAAAAGATCATAAAGTAATATGTATGTTATTGTATTTAAAGATATAAACGAAACTAAACTAAAATAGCCATCAATACGCTAGTCAGGTCGTCAGGTTCACGAATGATCTTGAAAAATAAACATTTCTATGGAAATATTTTGATGAGGTTTGAATTATAATATCTCAGCAACCGAATGTGCTAATTGATTTCTCTTTATAAAAAAATATAGGTCCATTAATTCATGCTCGTTTTAGCCACTAAATTGCACAATTCTGCGTTACTTTTGCACAATTCCTGCATTATTTGCACATCCCTGCGTTACTGGATATACACGGTGGTCCAGTTAATTTGTTAAAAAGTACTTGTACTTCAGAAAATGGCGAAATAACCAAACTTGGTACAAATAAACTTTGGGCTATATAAGAAAATATGAGCATGGGACTGAAAATCCAACATGGCTGAAAAACTCAAAGATGACCGCCATACATGTTTAAAATATCATACAGGCTTGTTTCTACTAAAACGACTTGATAAATAGCATATTCGAGGCTTATAAGTATAAAATCAGTTGTTATATCAGTATTGAAACATTGCCTTGTGTTCCTTAAGCTATATATTTAAATTAGTTTTCACAACTCTGGAAATCGGATAAAAATTAAAAACTGTCGAGCTTTAATTTTGCTGTTTCCTTAATGTTGAAAAATAAAATCAATTTTTAACGTTCTATGACCTTTTAAGCTCACCCGAGGTTGCGCAGGATGAGCTTTTAGGATCGTTGAATATCCGTCGTCCGTCGTCTGTCGTCCTTCGTCCGTCAACATTTTATCTTTAACAATCTAGCGGTCACAATTTTGCCCAAATCATCATCAAACTTTGTCAGGATGCTTGTAGGTAATTACTCGATTGAGTATGAACATGGGTCACCTAAGATTAAAAATAGAAAAATCTTGTTAACACTCTTGTGGCTTCTGTTTTGATCCAAATATCCTGGAAATTGATCTGAAAGTTTGCTTTGATGATTTCTAGGTAAAGTTCAAATATGGGTCACCTTGGGGCCAAAAACTAGATCACACCGCCCAAGTATGGAAAAACGTATTTAACCCTCTAGTGGTCACATTTTTGACTCAATCATCATTAAACTTAGTCAGGATGCTTGGCTAGGTAATTGCTCTGATAAGTTAGAACATGGTACAACTTGGATGAAAAATAAGGTCACAGGAGCTAAAAATACAAAAATCTTGTTTGCACTCTAGAGGGTACTGTTTTGATCCAAATATGGATCACCTGGGTTCAAAACCTAGGTCACACCGCCCAAAATATGTAAAAACATTGTTAACACTCTAGTGGTCACATTTTTTTCTCAATCTTCACCAATCTTGCTCAGTATGCTTGTGTAGGAAATTGCTTACAAGAGTTCGAACATGGGTCGTCTCGGACGAAAAACTAGTTCAAAGGAGCTAAAAAAATCTGTTAACACTCTAGTGGCTAGTGTTTTGATCCAAATATCCTTGAAATTGGTCTGCAAGTTTGTTTCGGTGATTTCTAAGTCAAGTTCGATTATAGGTCACCTGAGGTCAAAATCTAAGTCACACCGACCAAATATGGAAAAAGCCTTGTTAACACCTAGTGGTCACATTTTTGACGCAATCGTCATCAAACTTTGTGTGGATGCTTTTCTAGGTAATTGCTTGGATATATCTGAACATAGGCCATCTCGGATGAAAAACTAGGTCAGAGAAGCTTAAAATCTTGTAACAACACTCTAGTGGCTATTGTTCTGATGCAAATATCCTGGAAATTGGTCTGAAAGTTTCTTTTGATGATTTCTAGGTCGAGTTGGAATATTGGTCACCTGGAGCCAAAAACTATGTCACACCACCCAAATATGGAAAAACCTTGTTAACACTCTAGTGGTCATATTTTAACTCAATCATCATCAAACTTTGTCAGGATGCTTGTCTAGGTAATTGCTCGGATGTGTTTGAACATGGGTCATCTCGAATGAAAAACTAGGCCACAGGAACTAAAAACAATTTTGTTAACACTCTAGTGGCTACTGTTTTGATCCAAATATCCTTAATATTTCGTCGGCTTACTCTTAAAATGTCCTAACTGCCAAAATGCTATTTTGAGAAAAACGACTTTGAACATTTTGCATCTTATTATTTTTTTCCACGTGACCCCACTGAATTGAAATTTTTCACACATCTATATTTAGGATTTTAATGCGCACAAAAGGCGTTTATTTTTCTTTCTGGCGAAAGACTGAGAGTAAATATGAAAAAAACAAATTTGAGATAGAGCAAAAGGTCAAGATATTTCTTAAAAAGTCACTCTAAAAGTGCGTCATTGGAGATAGAGCAAAGTAATACCAAAATTAAATGAAGGAGCCAGAGATACGATACTTTAATGGTAGAAATTATTACATTCACAGGCTGTTTTAACCTTTAAAATGCACTTATTATGCTTGTCCGTATGTGCAATTCGATTTTGTTTTAAAGCATTACAAGCCGTCGCAATAATTTTTCAATGCAAATGACCGACTGGATGTTTCTTTGTATAATAGTATAAAACTTGTTAAATAAGTAATGGGAAAATAAATTCAGAAAACCGACCTAAACGTAACGTAATGCATCGAACCTAAAGTGTTAAGACTTTATGATATTGGTCCCCAGATATTTAGTCACAACAAGTTTAATAATTTATAACTGTTTATCATAACTTTTGTAACATTAATGAATATAACTTCTTGTCATGACAAATAGAAATTGATATCTTAAACATAAATACTGATCGTAAGTTGCATAACAAAGAAACATATCTTAATTATAGACAAATATATTTGCATATACAACATGTTACTTTGCAAAATCTCAATCTGTATGTATTAACATAATTATACAAAAATGTCTGTATTAAACAAAAACATAAAACAGCGTCTCGTCATACCGTGAAAAAAAATCATGAAAGATTTGAATTTTCTATTATCTAACATTTTTTCAATGGACTAAGGTTAACATTATTAAAATGTTATTTACTTTCTTTAACAATGTAAGAAAACCCGTTGCCAAGGTACTTCATCAAATCTGCCATGTAGTAGTCATAATATTAAACGAAAATCAGCTATTCATGTGGCTTGCAGTTTTAAACATAAATGCAACAAAAACATGATGCCAAAGTACAACATCAAAAAAGAAAATATATTCAAATGTCTCATCATAACATTGAATTTAGTAAATTTCTCAAACATAATATTAATCACCTGTAGATGTAGATGAGTATTTGATTAAGTTTGTTATAGAATAACACCATGATCAAATTCCTATGATGTCTGTTTGCGTAATACTATAGCACTTGCACTTATAAAGGTTTATATTTTGCACAGACTTTTCATGAACATGCGATCCTCTGTCGGCATAAATCGTAGCATGGTTTCTATATCTTTTTTCTTGTCATCAGACAAACCCTTTCCACATTTTAGAATTTTAGGCAAAGGAAGTAGGTCTGGTTTACAAGATAATCTTGTTGTCCTTAAAATTGTCGCCTCTGTGTATTGGACATCAAATGACTCTTTCAAAAACACTTGAAACGGCAATCCGTGCTTTAACTCTTGTAAATGGGACAGAGTTAAATGTGAATTTCTCTGCAACCGCTCGATAGTCAAAAATCACGTCATTTTTTAGTTGTACGATTACGGTTTTATCCGGACGGACTTGCTTCAGTTTCCTTATTAGACTTAGAGGACTGTAAATTTCTGAAACTTTCAGCTTTTTCTGTATATGAGAGTGAATGTTATCAATTTCCTGAATACTTGAATGCCCAGGGGTACAAAATTTATGAACAATTTTAACCACTTTAGGATAATTTGTTGAAATAGTTTTAAAGCAGTGGTCATCATGCTGTTCCGTTTTGTGGTACACAACTATCAGACCACAACGTTATTTTCTTAACATGAGGATGAGCCTTCAAAGCGTTTTCTAAAATAACAGTTACAGCACTAGCAAGTTCATTAGATCCTCGTCCAGCGACTTGTTCATTCCATATAACATTATATCCAACTTTGTCCAGAGAGCAGTGACACAAAGGGAAAATCAATCTCAAAATCACACCAAAGTTTTGAACAATTGCTAATCAAGTCGTTAAATTTTCTATAAACTTTGTTCACTTTTGTCAACAGACCTTGAATGCCCCAACATGTGTATAAGGACGCCGTCGGGCAACAACACAAGGTTTAACCTATAATGATATTTAAATTTAAGTAGATTATAATATCAGTGATTTTAGCATAGTTACACGATGGAATGAAAAGGTAAACTTTAATTTACTTATTTATGTATCCGAAATATTGTTTATCCGAATAATATTTACTAGGTTTTGCAGAACTTCTAAAAATTCTGAGATTACAGTGCATTCGACATTAAAAAAGCAAATTGCAGTTACACGTACAGAGAGTTTAGTTTAATATACTCACATATTATTACTTTATCTTGCTTGGAAACACAATCAATTGCATTACAAAAAAATATTGGCAAGAAAAGTCTTTACCGGAAGTTTTGACTTAGCGCACTATCATTGTGAAAACGACCAAGGTCACCTGACCATCAGTTCTTGTTTTGATTGGCTCATTTCAGGTTTTACTATTAAATTGTCCTAAGTAACGTACATACCCTACTATAATGATAAAACAATCATGCCAAATGTGGACATAGAGCAAAGTTCATACTCGGTAACTCCGTTTCTAGGTCATCTTAACCTTGAATTCAAAGCTTAAAAGATAGAGCAATGTAAGGTAAAAAGAATGGTTCATTTATCTCAAATTTTGCAAAAATGGACATAGGACACTTTTAGAGTTAGGCGACGATTTGTCTGAAAGTTTGTTTTAATGATTTCGTGGTCAAGTATGAATATGGGTCACCTTTGGTAAAAGAACTAGGTAACACCGCCCAGATATGGAAAAACCTTGTGAACACTCTTGTGATGCTATCTTTATCATCAGACTTGGTCAGGACGCTTATCTATGTTATTGCTCGGATGTGTTTGAACATGAGTCATCTCGGATGATAGACTAGGTCACAGGAGCTAAACATAAAAAAATCTTGTTTGCACTCTAGTGGCTACTGTTTTGATCCAAATATCCTGGAAATTGGTCTGAAAGTTTGTTTTGATGATATCTAGGTCAATTTCGAATATGGGTCACCAGGGGTCAAAAACTAGGTCACACTGCTCAAATGTGGAAAAATCCTGTTAACACTCTAGAGGCCACATTTTTCACTCAACTGTCATGAAACTTGGTCAGTATGCTTTTCCGGGCAATTGCTCGGATGGGTTCGATGGGTCAGGTGAGCGATCTAGGGCCATTTTAGCCCTCTTGTTTATTTACAACTCTTACTTAACTTGTACATACTAAAACAGATTAAACAATGATAGTTAAAATTAAAGTTAGTTCTGTTACTTTCATTGGTTTCACCTGAGACTTGAACCGGACCGCACTTCCTTATCTGCCCTGTGATAAAGAAAATTATAAGCTAATTTGCGAAAGATTCTAGTCTTTTAGTATTTCTATTGTCATTTTATATTATATGAAATTTTATCAATTACTTTTTAAAATAATATGTTAAAGAAAGAAACGAAAAAATGGCAGATATATTTAATGGTGAAATACTGTGTACATTTTCTCAAGTATGCGTTATAATTAACAAATTCATTTTAAATTATTCCTTTTTCTTCACGAAAACACATATGCAATTATTGTAGTATAAAACATGAAATGACTGACTTGATTATTTTATACAAATGTTCGGTTTACAGACTCTGATTTCAACACACCTTTGATGAAATAATTGGTTTTTAACACTCCACATTGGTTTTCGATTGATTAACTGCCAATTTAGAAACCAATTTTTAGGACTAATCTAGCTAGTAGTTCCTCGCCCTTTCATTTTATGTCCTGAGCTACACTGACTCATTACTGGTTAAAAATAATATCAACATTTCTTTGCCTTCTGAAAGTGTCAAAATTTGATGATGATAACCCCCACTGTCTTCCTTAAATATATGACCAATTTCCATTCGATGCTTCTAAGTTTTTTTTGTGACAAATATTATGTTTGGTGTTTTTTTATAACCTTTGGCTTACGCTGGATATCATATTTTCTTATATTTTAACCAATGTCAAAAAAAAGCTGAACTTTGACACTGTATTTCTTCTGAGGGCCTTATATGTTTGCAAGAGTCATGATATGGCGGGAAAGGATGGAATATTGAAAACCGTAAAAGTAGGCCTTACCGTCTATAAAACATAAGGAACCTTGTGTATTTCTCTTTAACATGCCATCTACTGATTTTGTTAATTGACACAGCACAACATCCTGATCAATTTGTGATGGATGTTTTATTTGGCTATCTTGTTGAATTTTGTTGTTCTAGACAAGCCTTCGGCAGACTTGTCAACAAACTTCAAATTTTCATTGTCAATGTTAAACAAGGCTTGAGAAAAAATGTTTTATAATCATCTCATCATCCTGACCAGAAAAGTTACTTCTAAAAAAGAGTATAAAAGCATGCTTTGTCCCTTTATGACAGACTTGATCTTACATGTACAATCTTTTTATGATTTATGGCGAGATAAAGAAGAATTCAATAGCAAAATATTAAGTTTTGGTTGAGACCATATTACAGTTTCGGAGCAACAGCCGGGATAAACATATATTTTCTTTGCAAAAAGAAGTGTCCTTAAAAGCAACTTTCCGAAGATAAAGAGCAAATATCTTAACTTAGACTAAATATTACGTTTTCCATATGAATCATGTCAGGTACACGGTGACAAACATGCAGAGTTCATTGCCTACCCTATCCTAGTTAAATTGTGCCTACCCAATCCTAGTTGTATGTTTTTAATGTCTTCTTTTTTATTCATAAGCAAACTTGTATCGCTGAACATTGTCAGGACTGCGTTCAGCAAAAATTGCGCTCCCCAGTATATCGTTTTATTCAAACTTTTAATTCCGTGATTGTTATTGTAATCAAAGTTTTGTCTAAGGCTATTATTAATCCTTTCTATGTTCAACATCGACCTATATGAAATATTTAATCAAAACACACATGCATCACCAATAGGATTTCAGAATGCAAATGGCTTGTGAAGCACAAAACTACATGTTAAAACCGAGTTTAGGACAAAAGCCCCGCCGTGCAAAAATGACACGGCAAATACATATATGAAAGTTTAATAGTTCAATGCACTCAACATATTAAAATTGTAATCATGAATAATTTTGTTTTCCATTGGCACAAGCGTGTTTGTATAAGCTTGAGCATATTTCTGACAGGCTTTTGAATAATAACTGCTAAAATCTGTAAGTGCATTTTTATTCACGTAAATATGAAAGGACTATTCTTATGTGAAGTTAAGATTAATAGAGAAATAAATGATGAAGAGGAGTTTAAATCAACTAAAATTAAAAGTCCAAGACTTATTGTAATGTGTCTTGTAATGAGTCAAATACTTTTAAAAGTGTCATTGCTTTTAACAACATTCTTGTGAAAAGCTACCTCGATAAACATTTCAGAAAGGTATATTCTGAATAAAAGGTGGTTTTAGCTCATACACATACTTAGGCCAATTGAGAAAAATAACAAATATATATTATGTTACAATTTTAATATGTTGAGTGTATTGAAAAAAACCAACAACAGGTATTTAACATACATATATATTTTTGTTACAGTATTGCTCTTGTCCGCCATAGTAATTTCACGGGGGTGGGGGGGGGCACAAAAATAACTATATTTGTTGTTTAAATATTGGAATTGCAATCACAATTCCTACAAATGAATTATGAATATTTAAATACAAAACTAGTCTTCCATTTAATAGATCTGACAGCTTAATGTCTAATGAACCGAACCGTGAACACATACCATTTTTGTTCCTGCAGTTGCAATGTATCATACGATTAGTTTGATACAATTTAGGTAATATTTGGTGGTAGCAAAATATTGTTGATTTAGCTTGAGGAATTGTAACTTACTGAAAAGAACTTCCAGCTTTCCTTGCATTTACAGGAATGTGTTGAGACATCTCATTCTGTTTTATGCTTTGGAAAATTCAGATATAATAGCTTAAATATTTATTTGGTAAATGAAATGCTTTTGCCCACTTTTAACATATTTAGCTCACCTAATAGTTACTTGACATGATACGTATCAGAATGAGATGTCTCAACACATTCCTGTAAATGTAAGGAACGCTGGAAGTTTTGTGCTTCATCTATAGAATGATTGCTGGCAGTGCCTTTTGCCACAATAATAATACCCTTTTTGATCATATCAATTGATCTAGTAATGATCTAAATTTTATAAGAACATTTTGAAGAATCCGATGCTTGTGAAAGTTATCCTACTTTTTATTCATTATGTAACGATACACTTCAATTATTGATTCTTCAGTTTAATTGTCTACTTAGGATTAAAACAAATAAAATGTAAATGAGAAAATAATTAAAGTATTCAAAGTTCACGAACTGATCACTAAAATAGACTGATTTGTTAATTCACTGAAATTGTTACCATGTAAACAGAAACGATAAATTACATTATATTTGATAACTAGTATCTTTTAGTAATAATAAGTAATACACATCTCTCGTGTTAAATGAAAACTGTGATAATTTCAAGTAAAATTGTAGCTCATAAAATAAGTAGCTTATACTGGAATAGGAAAGTGTTGATCTCACGAAATGACGGCCATTTTTAAAAATGGCTGCCGTAGCAACCATCTTGGCATATATAAAATTGGCCCCATGCCCAAAATGTTTCTTTTGTCTTTATTAACATCTGTGCCAATTTCGATTTTTCCCCATTTTCTGAAGTATTTTAGCATATTTATTAAAAATTGACTAGTTTCCTAGAAATAAGCAATCTGACAATATTGACAATTATCTTCATTATATATGTGCCATTCGTCATATTAAATCAAATTATGTGTCTGAATCATATTTCATTATGTAGGAACATTTTATTTGTTAACACAATTTTTTCTTCATGTGTATATTTGTCCCGAATGAATAAATCCTGTCTATAGTTACGAACTTTGTACATTATTCATACTTACACTTGTGCCTTTTTATGTACAATAATATAATATAAAAAGAACAACAAAACTCGGGTTATATGATTGGGAGAATAAGGAAAACAAACGGACCGAAAATTAATAATTATATTGCGTAGCCAAATTTCTACATTATATTGCTTCTTAATAATGTATGTTATGTATATATTTAGACAATTATATATACATGAATTATTTTTCGTCAATAAAATATTAGAACATCTTCAGGAAAAGAATCGTGTTTTCCAAGTCCATGTATAACAGAAAATACGCTTGCTTGCTACGGCCGAGGGATATGTTATTGTAACACTGGATTTAGTGGGAGGAAATGCGAAATAAGTGAGTTAAATACAAGAAGTGATCAATGTCTTATATATACAAGTAAGATGATGTTAATATATATTCTTGTAGTTCATTAAACTATATGAAGTTAACAAGGAATGGTCTTAAACTGGGAAAATAGTTATATCTATAATTTCTTAGTGTTGTTCTTTTCTTTTTTTTGAATAAGATTTTATTTATATTTTTAAATCAGATATAAATGACTGCCCTCAGTCAGTTATATGGAATGTGTAAAAGACGGGGGTTGCAAAATATACTTGCGACTTTTTAACGTTTTTTTGGAAAAAAATGCACGTAGGGAGATTTTTATTTTTTATTTTATTTCCCAAATGATATTGGAAGACGGTTTAAAAAGTTGTGTATCTGCATACAGTATTCGTATATTATATACATATGAAAAAGGAAATTTTTTGTTTTTGGGGGCATTCAAAACTATATTTAAATTTTAATTTCCAAAAAACATTTTTTAAAAACACGATCAAACGAATTTAAAAAATGACCATTTTTTACAAGCTTTTCCATTTGTGAAAACTTCCAACTTATTTATTTGATTCAAAGTCTCAACTGTCTATTATGCATTTAACATGACAAAATCAATTTGATTGTGCTTGGTTCAGGTCTTGCAGTAGTTCATGCAATATGTCGTCGCATGCCCATTGCTCCGACTCAAGCAGAATTCAACATTTATATTTTAAATTCTTGCTGATTCTGTTGAAAATCATTAATACTTTTTTTACATTATATTTGGTTTTCAGATAAATGTACGGAACAAAGTTCAAGACAAATGAGTTGCCCAAAAGGTATATACGAAATATGTAGAATATTTCAGATCAATGCTTAATTAAGATTCATTTAATTGTTTACAAACATTGAACATTCCAAAGCCATGGCAATTATTCAAAAGAATACGAAAAACATCTAATTTCTTTTGTTTTTGGTTCAGCGTATTCATAAACCTCACAAAAACTGTTATTTGTTAAAAGCATGTTGAACTATTTCAGTTAAATAAAATTGCGAAATTTACGAATTTGGTTGTACCATTCCTGATATAAATTCGTTATTATTTTTTAAGTGCAATAACAATAACTTCCATTTGACGTTCTAAAACCAAGAAATTAAAATTATTAGACTATGGTATACATGTATATGATGATTTTATATACAAATAAGTCACAGATCGCTGCTTATATCAAACACGGATCAATGGTGTTTTACTATAGATGATTTCATCTATTTTTTCAAGTGTAATTGATTGTTTTCTACAGATTTCTGGCTCATTTTAAACACTTCAATTTCAATATAAAAGATAAACTAACGAAAAAAATATGTGCCATGAATGTCAATTCACTTAAAGAACCGTAGAGAAAGTAACAGTGGCTGATCACTTGCTCAGTAATTTGCAAATCATTTGGAGTGATGTGTTATTGGTTATGCTTTTTATTGTTTTATTAATACGTTATTTGGAATACTCTTTAATGAAACCAGATTCATTGCATCCAGATTAAAGGTAGAATATTTTACAGATGGTATTAGGTCAAATAGAGCAAATGCTTTGATTAAATTGCATCTCAATTATATTGCAATATAATAATTAATATGCTCATTTTTAAGCCGGATGTACTAACACTTCATGCAATAGCCGTGGTGTGTGCTCTGCTCAGGGTCATTGCACGTGTCCATATGGATATTATGGACAACAATGCGAGACACGTGTGTATATTTTTTGTTGTTGATTTTATATTAAGCAGCTTTTCATATCTTTGTTCCAACCATAGCAATTTTCATGTATAAAATGTGTTAAAATTGTTTAAACTTCATAAATTTACTTCAATATCTTGTATTTTGATTCATAGCGTGTTTATATGTATTTGATATGAGTGGTCGATTCCAGATATGATTGTCCATGAATGATCTATGAATTCTTTATTTCCAGCAAAATGTGACATTACTAGAACCTCTGTGAGTATAAGTTTTGTCATGATTTACGAGTAAAATGATCGATTATTCCAAAGAATAACCAAATTTAACTGCATTGTACAAATATGTAGGAGAAGACCTTTATAAGCTTTATAGCTTTCGGCTCTAATCCTTTTTCATTCGTGTATCTAATTATTGTAAATGTATTAACAACATGATGTACTTGTATCATTGTTTGAAATAAACTATGTTTAAACTTAAGAATAATATAAAGTCCACATCACAAATATGTAAGAGTTTCAACCCGTCATACAGGTGCGACCTCAAAACCGGAAGTGACATGCAGACTATGCAAAATATTGATAGTTCATATGTAAGAGTTTCAACCCGTCATACAGGTGCGAGCTCAAAACCGGAAGTGACATGCAGACTATGCAAAATATTGATAGTTCATGATAACGATAGTGATAGTGCATCATTGTATGTTTGCGACATAATCACTGTTCAGTTTCGGAAACGATAACGATATCTCCGAGCCTAACCCTTGTAGATATTTAAGATATTCCTCGGATAAATTTTCAACTATTGAAATAAATAAATTTACATATTTTTGTCTATCTAACATAACAAAAACATTCAACTCCAAAAATAATTATGTATCTTTTAAAACAATTACTAGGCGATTCCATGGATTTTTCCGATATACCACTTGTATTGAAATGGCACTGTGCACTACTTAAGTCTTTAGTGCTGAAGTCCTCTTAGCATGGGTTTGGTCTCATTAATTTGTAGGCCTACACTTAATTCAACCATGCTAGAGCCAAGGCGATACGAAATTACATTCTTTACACGCGTCAATACAGTGTGTAATTTGTACCTACAAGAAAAAGCGAATCGTTTAATGTTTATAGACAAAAATGATCGATTATTCCAAAGAATTATATAAAGTCCGACATCACAAATATGTAAGAGTTTCAACCCGTTGGGGTTTTTTCACGTTCAAGTAGAAAACAGAATGTTGTTTACAATAGTGAACAAAAGTTAGAAAAAAAGTGAAATATTTTAATAATTATTTGACCTTATCAGAATCATTATGCAATAAAGGGGGAAGTTAGTCACTCTATTTTTCTAATAACCAATGAAATCTTAATTTGATTGCTAATTAAATGAATGACAGGTCTGATGACATGCTGATACCAAGAAGTTTTGAACAACATAGATCATAACAGGTCATTAATAATATAACATATTACGAAACAGGGTGTCAGGTCCTTTCGTTCACGGAGATCAATTAAGTTTTATCCTCCTTAAATCACAGTGGAATTATTCTTTTAACGATGATAAAGACGTAAAAGACTCGTCTTAAAATCAAAACACAGCATGTGGATTATTTAAAAGTTTATTTGTTATATATAATAAAAGTGTAAAAATAAAGCCTTAACATAATGTTAAAAGAATGATTATTTGGGATTTCTCTTTTTTATATATGGTAATGGTTACCTTGCGTCACTGAAGAAACCGACTTTCTAAATCACATGTGTTTTTAAAATAAGGTCATCACCTATTAAAACACTATTTTATCGTATTTATTGTAATCTTCGTATCATTATCTATTGAAATCGGAACAACATGCTTATTCTAGGCCGAATACCTAACTTCGGCAAAATTGCCTTGAGCTGAATAAAGATAACTGATCATAAGTCTTTTGTTGAACATTTCATAATACGTCATGCATGGCAATGTTTCAGCAAGTCAAGTAATCTGAGCTAAAAAAGAAGTAATTGGGGTTCAGTAAACATTCAAATCATAACACATGGCACAAGATCTTCTAGTTATAACACACATTTTTTTGTTTTTACATACGTATAGACAGGGATAATTTCACCTACAGTTAAAGATGGAAGTAGACTGATTTGTTACTCAGAAAAGGACTTGATATCACAATGTTCTTTGCGTGTTTACGTCACTGGCAAATCAAGGTAAATATTAAAATACATAAATTTATATCAAGTTAACTTTACTTACAAATTTAACGAGACAATTTACTGTTTTCTAGTTGATTTAAAGCAAATTGAACTGAGTGCAATCACATATTAATTTGAAGGTCTTGTCGCATATTTTCCAGGATAATTTTACTTATGTTATGAATAATGGTGAGGATATTGTAATAGCATTGAAAAGGCATGAAACCCAATAAAAAACATTTTGCTTGCATATGACCAAAGAAACCTCGTAGCTAGTTAAGGTGATCAGCAAGCTAATGTGTACTGGAAACACTTAATCGAAGTGTTATAATTATAAAGCACAATAAAGTAATTGAATCGGATTTTATTCAGTCAAAATACCAAGAGTGATTTCTGTTTTCAACAGTTTTTCATGGTTTTATTAAATAGTTCCATACCAACTATTGACATTGAAACATCTAGAGAATTGCAAAATATTACCACAGGAGGAGATGCTAAAAGATCGCAAGTCCTTCCAGGAATGTCTACTGTTTATGCAGTAGATATTACAATAGGTGGACAATTCAACAGTTCAAAGTTTCAGTATATTTGTGTTGTGGCGACTTATGCGTAAGCACTTTTTTGTGGTCATTCATTTTAAAAACATATCATTTTTTTAGACCAAAATTTGATCTATCCAAATTCCTTCAAGCTAGTCCAACAAAAGTTCATAATGGAAAATACTATTAAGTATATTTATAGGAAACTGTTTTTATCGTTTTCTTCGAATATTTTATTGCATGAACTATTTCTGACATATGAACTACTTCATTACAAACATGTGTGAATCCTGATATGTAAGGTTGTTCCATTTGAAAAACAATAAAACATTGATAAGAAGATCACTTGTAAAAATAACCATTTCAGATCATCAAAATCTAGTGTTTGCTACGATATCAGCATTCTTCCCAATCGTAAGTAATACAATAGCTATTTAACATGTCGCAATGAATTTCATGCATTATACTTTCTTAAATAAATTAAAATGTCACTTGTGGTACATATTTCTTCATAATTTATCTAATTAACTTCTTAAATTTCTTGTATCAATGCATACAATATGAAGTAATAAATAGATGTAAAATTGTAAATTGCAACGGGCATGTTTCAGAATTAATTTCCCGCCCTAATCCCGATCAGAATCTAAAGTCAATAACATAAACTTGGAGTTATATTTTAAAAAACCTTTAATTTTAGATGATCTGTTACAGGTATTAGAAACTATTGTAATTTGTCATATTAGATATGAATGCACAATATTCATACACAACTGTTAAATTACTGATAAATTGTCATCTATATTACAGAGAAAGCTATGTTTTGTAAAACATTGTTTTATATAAAAGTTCTAAAATACGATTTTCCTCTTTTTCTGTAAATAGCACAAAAAACACGTTTCGCAAAACATTTATGAAACAAACAAAAATTTTTTAAGCAATTATGATTTTTATAGAAACTGCCATCTTGTTTTACTGAACGTTGTTCAACCTCTAAATAAGCGGTCTTGCAGATTGCATTTGAGAGCATTCTAGCGAAAACAAGATACAATTTGTAATCAGTTCACACATATTTTAAAATCATTTTCTTTTTCTATATTTACTCCATATCGATTGTATTTGTATTTTGTTTTATATAAAAAACAACACCATTTGCTGTTCAGCTGAAGCAGATGCTACGAGTCTCGCATATCTCCAAAGACAGGTAAATTAAAATCTGTATATTTGTTCTTTTTATTATTATCTAGTCCTGTTACGAGAACGACATTCACAAAAGCTCATGGTGCGAACGAAAGACAAAAAATCAGAGAGTATAACCTCAATCAGTTATTCTGTTTAATACATTTACCAAATAAGGCGTCCGTATTCACCATTAACCATTCTTTACAACGGAAAAACTCTTTTCAAACATCGGTGCAATTAATTCTGTGCTTTTACGCCTGAGTGTCAACTTGTAATGCTTTCCACAAAAAACTTTCAGCAAAACATATCATTTTTGCACGGGATGATTTTCTTATTTGCTTGTTCTGTTGAATATGAGTTTGGTAAATGTTGATACAGTAATGCCCCGCGGTCCGTCCGTACATTTTCTTCAACAGTACTCAAGAATGATGCTACCAGTAATATTTTTAATATTGTCTTCGTATGTCAAGGATTTAAAACTTGGGGCCATACCCTTTCACCAGGCCACTCCTGCGGTATTTGCTATTAAAAACACCCTTCCGAAAATAGCAAATGTATCTTAAAGCGTTTCTTACAGCAAACATGTTTTGTATCCCAAACAAACAATTATGCATTATTAACCTAGTTTATTTTGTACAGGCAAAGATTAAGTTCATTCAACCAACAACGAAAGACGGAAGTCGAATAATATGTAGGACTTGGGAGAGATGTCAAATATTATTGTACACATCTTTTGCATCAAACCGGTAAGAATAGGTGCATAAAGAAGAATTACCCTGAAAGTTACTGTTATAGACGATTTTATAGTTTGGAACTAAAATAACATAAAAATCGTATTAAATACGGTTAAATATTGTATAAGCATCATTTCCTTGCTTAGAATCAATAAAATACATTTAACAACCATCAATACTTTTACAAATTTAGCATTAAATTAAATTTTAAATATGAACCTCTCTCATTTTATTATCGGACTCGTTCATATTAATTTAAAACAAGTATACACAATTAATCATAAATCATCATACTGTTCTCAGGTCTTCTTGTCATGCGACAAACGCAACTTCTCCAACTGGTACTGTAAATGGCAGTTGTGACATTACTGATAGAGATAACGATGAAGACGAAACGGACTTAGCTAGAAAAATTGCCTCACCATGCTGGTAATTGATTTCCTATCTTAAAAAACTATTTTTATAGAAAATTTATTATCTTAATTGTTTTTGTTGAATTTATTCAGAACAGTTGAAATAAACAATTTCAGGGCGAAACAAAGAAATCATAATCTGAAGGTGTATGCTACAGTCGCACCTAGACACTTAGGCAGAATGAAAACTGTACGTGCAGCACACATCTTTAAAACTACATCTTACTTTGCAATTTGCAAATAACTTAAAACGATGAATGGTGTCCTGCCAAATATTGTCGGGACAGTTTACTTTGATATTTTGGCAGAATTATGGCCCTTTGTTTTTCCAATATATGCAGTATAAAGAGGAATACTCTTCTGTGCGCAATTCCTCAAACATGAACAAGGGCTTTCAAACAAACTTTTACAGAATTATTGCGTCAGTAAGTGTTCTAGTACATATTGTGAAATAGTCATGTGGCATTACCACACTCGTTTTGTTTTGCTGCTTTTCACTATCATAATATGTAAAGAAGTACTCTGTTTATGTACATTTCTCAATAAATTGCAATCAAACTTACACAACTTATGCAACGTAATCCTTTGCTTTTTGATTTCTATCAAGAATATTCTCCTGTGCAAAAGTCTCATTTGACTTTGTATCATTCTTTATAGTGTGAGTTGATGTTGTCGGTCTATTAGTCTGTCCCATTAAAAATGGAAATGAACTTTTGCCTGGTGTGAATTAACAAAACGAGATTGAATAAAAATTTAACTGTTTTTGTAAACTAAAAAAAAGTCACCCTCGAGATTTTTCAGGATTTTACGCTAAAGTGTCTACTTTTCTTGTGAAAGCAAATTTTGATTTCTCTATGGAAAATCCCTGTTGTTTATTTTCCGTAGCCATTGCCGAAGTACTCTTCATTTGAAGATGAACGGGAGAAAGCACGTGTCATTTTTCTAAAATATACATGAGGTTCTCGGGGTCGTTTCATGATTATTTTACAAAGCTGGATCTACAAGATGTAACAGTTTAGTTGCAATGCATGATAGAAAACTTAAAAAAAAAAGAAAAATAAGCAACAAGAACACCATGTCACATGGATAAAAGATCTAGAAATTACACTTACTTTTAAGCTGAATATAATTCCTATGATCGGAATAGATCTTTATAAACATCACTTCTGAAGATTCCTTCATTGCCAGTTTCTATACAGATCCGATTTTTTCTACTTTGAAACTCCTAAATGACATGACTCATACACTTATGATGATCCAGATTTTTAGACTGTTAATCCGTCTCATTATTAAAACATTGTTCAATTTGTGGAGTTATCTGGGTTAGCAAATGAAATATCGTCGATGTATGTAAAATCGCGGTGTATATAAATTCGCGGATTTTGTTAACACTTGGATAATCTCGTAAAATCTCGTCGCACCTGCCCGACAATGACGTAATATTTCTCGCAAAATGTGTCTACATATGTTTCGTGTATCAAACCATCACAAATCACACAAAAATGGGCAGTTTATTGTTTATTTTCTAATAAGTATAAAAAACATGATTTTACTTATGCCCAAATATCTACCTTATAAGTAATCCATTTTTATCATCAAACTTTAAGATGTAATCACAGGTTTAGATTACAATGTGCAAGCACTTGACCTACTTAAATCTTTTGCCGGAAATGAGGGTCATATGGGGAGGTGAAAATCAAATTTATCGGCTGTTTTTGTTTTTTTTACTACTTACATGTTTACAAAATAAAACTGCAAATAAGAAATAGATATAAAAAATCAACATTGTTCTGAAAAATTGATATTTTCTCAGTTTAAAGTGACTGGAATTTTTGTCATGTGCACTGATTTGACCTACAATGACGTATTTGTAGTCGTCCGCGAATTAACATACAGTTCCAATATGGCGGCGGTCATGACATACGCTTATTATTTAAAGTTACCACTGACAAATACGAGTGTAAGTTGGTGAAACTTGAACTGACTTGAAATTGAAAAAGGCCAATTGTAAGCAAACATTAGGTGTATAATTTATTATTTATCTTTTTTCCACATTATTTCTCACAAATGTGCCTAATACCGCGAATATACATCAATCGAGGATATGTAAATGAAACACATCATAATTTAGCATGTTCCAAATCCATAATTCAAGAACGGCCCATCAATTTTAGTTGTCAACATCACAATGCTTATAACTCCTGACGAAAACAATCTTTATTACGTCAACAACAATATACGAAATATATGACGTAACAAAAATGTCTCGCGATTCCAGTTGCGGCATTGACAGAGAGCGGTTAGGCATATGTAACCTCAAACAGATCATTTTTAGCGTTGAGATGAATTTGTCTTGTTGGCATTTAAAATAATTTTTGTATACCTAGATTTTGCAACTTAACTGTAAAAAATACACCTTCAATTCATATATTAATAATAAAGCTTTTGATAACATTTAAATAATGTTAAACACAAAATGACATGAATCTACAACAGTTCAATACTTCTTCCATTAATTACATATAACATTCGTTTTGATTTTATGTTTAAAAACCATTTTACATAATTCTCAGAAATAATTTCCCTACATATTTTCTCGTTTTTCATGACTTCTGTAAATCTTACTCTTTTAACTACAAAATAAGCAATACGCCGTATTTTTCTCCCGCATATTTCTTACTCTTTTAACTACAAAATATACAATACGCCGTTTTTTTCTCCCGCGAAAAAGATGCTAGATCTATTGTATTTTCACTGAATATTTTTAAATTTTAGGAAGGCTAAAATCATTGAGAAAGTCACTCGGTGTTTTCCTTTGACTACATCTCCCCTTCATTTTAACATAATATTTATATGTTACACCTTGAGTCTAAAAAACACGCTTATTGTCGCTTATTGAACACTCCAATCCAAACGTATTCTTTATAATATCAAATCACTGACATTTGTTGAATTGTGAGACGGGAAGTTAAATTTGTATTTACGAACTTAAAGTGTATAGGCCTACGTTTGATTGCTCAAACTAGAAAGTATGATATTATATATTCTTAAAATTTACATTTTCCTCGAACGCGGGCCTGTGTTCTCTCGTTAGCGAGGAAGTTAGTTAAAGTAGACACTGTGGTAACAAGCAAACCAATTCTGAACGTATAGTGAATCAGTTTTCCTTTCTATATATATTCTTGTCAGATTTGCATGATAAAGTAGTATCTGTTGGCGATTTTTTTGTGAAAGTTGAAACCTACGTAAAGTTTTAGCGCACAGACATCGCACCCGAAATAAGAAGGGTAACATATTCTTATATCCCATCGAACCTGGTCAATTTAATTATTTTTGAATAGAAGTGATACATGCTAATGGACAGAATTCAGATAACTACAGAATTGTGTAAATTAAACATTAATAAGCGAAGAACCATTTTTTATAGTCTTCTAGGTAGGTCATGTTGGGGCCGCGTTCATTGAACGCCGCCTTTCCTTGTTGATCTTGTTTATCATATTCTAGTTGTGTTTCCGCTCCCCTATGACATGTTGCGGTAAGATACGCACTTTATTGGAAAGCTATCTAATCAAATCAATTCATTGTTCATTTTATCTTTAAAAAAATACGACAGTGTATCATGGTAATTAATTTAATATTTGTGAGTTAGAATTTATAAAGCGGTTACCGATATTTTAGCTTTAAATGATTTCGATTATTTTAAATAATAGTTTGCTAGTAAAATTGCCTTTTTGACACCAACTTTGTTCTCATTTTTCATTTTAATGATAACATTTAGCTTTTGATCATTAAGTAAATAAGAATAATCAAATTTTTATAATTACTGAGTATATTTCACTGTAATTGTGAGACGAACCCTAAATGACGTCTATATGGGCGCCGCCATTTTGAAATGGACTTCACGTCAGGTTACAACGTAAGTCAACGGGGAAAAATATAATTTTAACATTTTGACCATATTACTGACTATGAAAAAAATGAAAAAAATGCCTAGGGATATTGACGTCAGGGTTAAGATGACATTAATTTAAATGATTTTACTATTATATTAAATAAAAAATGGAATGTTCAAATTTGATGGGACGGACTAAGATACCGGAATTTTGTTTATGCATATTTATCCAATTTATCGCTTGTTTGCATTGAATGTTACATTTGAATCATTTGAACGTATTTTATATATATATTTGATTACTGTTTTATCATATCCGTTATTTGGTTAAAGTGAAAATGTCGTCACATCATCGGCTGAAGTAAAGGTATTTTCCGCCCACCCACGAGGACCAAGTTGTGTAACAGAAGTATCCGCCATATTTGATAGTGTAGGGGAAAATGACATTTGCTTCCATTCAGCGTATGTTTTTAAAAATCTAACTTTGTTATAGGACTTGTCGTGAAAAATTGAGAAATGTCTTTATTTTATATAGTAAAAAGTCTCTTCATAGATTGCAGTGGTCATTTGTGTAGTTATTCTTTTTTAAATACAAAGTAGCTCCTTTTCTTGATATAAACCTTGGGTTATAAAGCACAATAGTTGACAACTTTTGATTCTTGCAGTTTACGCAACCACTTATCGTAAAAAATAATATTGTGTAAATGTGTTTTTCATAAAACACTTCTTAGAATGTTATTTTGTAAACATCTGATACATTATTACTAAAATTCATTTTCAGAATATCGCACCAAAATAGAAATTCAGATATCTAACTTTTCTAGAAAACTTAATATCGTATATCCTTTATTTTTCAGCTCGTTTGAATACCAAAAACTATGTTACACATTTCTTGTGTATGCCAATGACAAACGAGGTATTCTTATATACACCCTATCATATTTATTTTTATCATTTATGTATTAAATTTAATTTCAAAATAGTATTTCTGTCGTTTAACCGTAATTTTATTGCGAAACTTTTCTGAAACAAAACAATGTGTCAAACAAACTTTTATGATTTTAACATTTCTTAAACAAAACACATAATCATCAAACACATTAACCTGGGATAAAGGGCAGCTGCTATATTAGACACCCGACTACATTTCTCAAAAATCTTATTTTGATTTTTGTGTTGGTGAATGGTATGACGAAAATGTCAATTTAAAACTGCTGTCAGTCCGGTTCCTTAAGGATATATGTAAAATAAATCTTATAATTTGATTAAAACAATCCATAATACCATTTTTTGTTTTAAAATAAAATCATTTTATACCTTTAATCGGAGTATGAATTGAACTAAATCCTTTCAATTTTCCTGTAACAGATAGAGTTAAGGTTAGTTATTTCTTTAATCAATCGAACCCATAAATTAATCCTCAGATAAATGTTTTTGTAAAACATTTGTTACTTGATATGTAAAAGGGTCTATATTTCACTTAATTAAACACAAAAAGGTATTAGAATCTCCGGAGCAAAGTTTGCTTCATTACCAGTTAAACATAATCAGAATACGATCAGTTTTCATGCGTCATTGTGCTTTTCTTAACACAGATCCCTGTTCCAGCTCACCATGTCAGAATAATGGGCATTGTTTTCGCACAGATCAAGATAACTATAAATGCGTCTGTCAAGACAGTTATGTTGGTGATTATTGTCAAACAGGTTAGAAACGTTACTAAATTTCCTACGTTTTCAAGTGTTATTATTGTTTTTGCAAGCTCTTCATGCATTGTGTACATTTTATATATTGGACATTTACATTATTTCCAATTTTCTCTTTAAAGCATCCAGATCTCTTCCAAGTATATGGGTGGCGCGATAGCTCAGTTGGTTAGACCACTGACTGTCATTCCTGAGGTTCCGGGTTCGATCCTGGGTAACACCCTTTGGATTTTTCAGAAACACTTTCAGTGTTTCCCACCTAACTAGAGGTTTACTGGGACGAAACGCAGGTAATCCTCGCATGTATCAGTGCCATACACTGGACATGTAAAAGAACCTAATCTATTCAAGGAAGGAATCTATTCAATAAGAGCTAAGTTAAAGACCCTACTGGAAATAAGTGCTTGCACTTTGAAATTCGTAGGTTATCCTTGACCGCCCGGTCTAAAGAAAAATCAATCAATCAAATGTGTGTTATCTGTATTCGACTGATTATCTTCTCTCGTAAATCTATTTGCATTTTCATTAAAACAACACATATATACATGTATTTCAATTGCAATCCATATGTCTTTAAATCTATTGTTATCTTCATAGCTAATCTACGGAGCCCATAAAGTTACATTTCCACACTTTTCAAGGGACTTAATTCGTTTGTACGAAATATTAATTCATAATAACGAAATATTAATTCGTTTTTTACAAAATATTGTTTCATAATTACGAAAAATATATTCATTTTTATGAAATATTAATTCGTAAAATCGAAATATTAATCGAAATAATATTTCGTTATTACGAATTAATATTTCGTTTTTACGAAAATAAATTTTGTAATTATATAATAAACGGAATCATAATAGGCACAATAGCTTCTTTCTTGTCAGCTAAATAACTTGATATTTTACTTGACATTTACTGCCTCTTTATTTAGTGAGGGAATAGGCCAGTGAACACCTTTGAATATTGTGTTTTTATAATATTGTAGTAAATAAAAGAAGCAATTCTTTTTTCTCTCCATAACTAAAAAGAGATTTGTGAGTCATAATCCAGCGTTTCATATTCCAAATATTAATATGACGTTATGGCGTCGTTGATTGACGTTGCAATTTTGACGTCAAAATACGTTACAATGGGGTCAAGTATAGAGCCTAAAAAATTGACAAATTGGAAAAAATTATACAAAAATCAACAAAAACCTACTTGGGACATATTTTTATGTCATATGCTCAAGTTTTATCGAAATTAAAAATTGGGCCGATTTTCACTATATTTGAACATACTCCTTTCATCGTATTTAAATGTTTTGTATTATATATAAAGAAGGCTTCGAAATGAAGTTCCTGACTTTATATTAGTCAGCTTAACACAGCTTAAATAGTGATTTTTTTCTTCCTAAGTCATATACCATAACCCGACGGTATAACAGTGCTGTGTATAACTAAAAATAATCGCCTGTTTATTGAGTTGCCGCAATACATGTAATAGTACTGGCACTGGGATAATTTTGCTAAAATTTGGGTCCAGGGGTTCAAATCCAGACACTGACATTTTTTTTTCATTTTGTCGATTTCATAGAGTTTTGAAACAAAATACATTGTCATGATTTTAAGATTGCACTCAATACATACATGTTAAGGAAATATATATTTAGTGAAAATCTGGAGGCCAGCTTTGAAATTTAACTAGTGTGTATGATTAAAGAAAGTAATACTATAGCATGTTTCTTTTGGAAAGAAACATGTCAGAAAAGATAAATTGTCTCAGAAATTAAAACATTTTGATTTTTTTGCCAGCTGTTGGGAATATGTTTTTAAAAAGGGGTAACAAGGGATATTTTGGATGGAGAATGACTTCTCACCCAAAGCCCTGTTCACTCAAATATAATTACTTGAGGGCCATGATGCTTATAATCTTTATATAATTCATGAAGGCCAGAAAAGGGTCGGATAATATACAAAATTCATTAGATTTTTTAGGGATTTCATTTAATATGTTATTGTTTGTCGCTATTTTACACAAATTTACTGACCATTTATTTAGAACAATTTTTTAATTGCAAAAAATGTTAAAAAATCACATGTAAACAACGTTCTTTAAAACAGCTATCACTATTTAAATTTGAAATTGTAGAAATAAAACTTATTTACCATGTAGGCCTAAAAAGCGAACATTTAAATAAATATCGAGTATTATATTTCTTCGTTTTACTGCGTTTGTATACCTTTGGTATAGCATGATTTTTGTATCGTAACTTTTTGGCTATTCTTACAAAATATGCTGTTATACAGGTTCAAATTTGCAAATTTAACAAGTTTAATACCCTGAAAAAAAAAATACTTTCATATTCATGACTCTGGTATCTTGCTGAAAATTTAAGTATAATTTTTAAACTTTTCATTTTCTCATGTGCATTTCCTTTTGTTTGAAATCTCTGTAACAAACACACTGTGTTGAAATAAACTTTAAGGCTTTTGTCTCATATAAAATACTATCTTTAAAACAAAATTTGCTCGCTCTTTGTTCTGGCATCAAATGTTACATTTTCAGTTTATTCTCAAACTTAAATCGTGCTTTAATTGATACAGGTCCTTGCCAGTCAACGGACAATCATTGCCAGAATAATGCTTACTGTCAAGTACACGATGGTGATACTACATGCATTTGCAAAGCCGGATCCTTTGGACCTAAATGCAGTAAAGGTGTATCTTTTTATTTATACTGTTTAGTCTGTCCGCTTAGCTCATTTGGGAGAGCATTGAGTCAGAAGATTAATGTTTGTATCCTAGGGCTAGTCGAATGATCTCGAACACTGAGTCAAATGGTCGTTTGTACCTCACTGGTTGTCAAAAAAAAGATATTAGTAGCCGGTCACATGTTGAGAAATTGAAAAGTACTATTAAGTAAACAAAAAAAGCCGTCTGTGAAATATATGACCAAACATATGTGTTAAAATCAGGGTAAAATAGAAATACAATGCGTATCTTAAAATAAAAAGCGCTGTTTTCTTTCGTATTCAATTTCTATTTAAAATGCTAAGTAAAATATAAAGCAATACTTTTAGATGTTAACGATGTCTTTTCATATATTTTTTTTCATTTTTACACATTTCAACTGTCTAGGGTAAGATATTTTATAGCTAACACGTTTTTCATATAATTTTCAGGTCCTTCAAGTTTACAAACTTCATTTCCTGTAAGTTTTAGCATAATATACGTATAATTACCTTTTTAAACTAAGTTATGTAATTCTCTCAACAGGGTATGTATTCGAATTGTATTCAATATGTATCAAAGTATATTACTAGTCACGAATTTAATGCCCCTTTTTAAAGCAGCAGAATTCTGACAAGAATAAACATTTATAAACGATGTAAGGTTCATGAATGTAGGTAAATTGTAATTGGAGAGGTCATCCATAGAGTTGAGAATGATTTTTATGTATCAAATTGAAGCTAATGCATCGTATTTTAAGCCTTAAATCAAAAGAACCAGTCTACAAAAATTGAAATGCGCATGCGCATGTGGTTGGAGGCATGCAGCTGTACGAGTTCATACTCCTTATTCCAATCAAATAATATATACATTTTTATGTAAGTCTGGGACTTTTTTTTAACATACTTTATGCCCATTTTGGAAAATCTCTGTTGCAGAGGAAATGTTTCTATATACTTTCCAAAACATAAATGGTAAATTTGATTACAGAATTTTAGAAGAAATTTTTATTTTGAAACTACTTTTGATATATATAATTTCTTTTCAATTTAGTTTGATATATAACATAAAATAAATTGTTCCTTTGCTAGAAATAAATGTCCCTGATGCGCCAAGAAAATGTCCATTTCTCCGACATATAATCTTTCAGAATATCAAACAAAAAAGTGTAAAATAAACTTTCATTATGATACTTTATTCAATATATATAATTATATTTTGTTAAATAATTGTAATTTGTAAACATTTATTGTGATATTTATGTTTTAATTTTTTTTTGGGGGGAGGGGGGGGGGGAGTCCTCTCACAGAACAAAGGTCGGGTGTTGGGATGCATGTGTGTTTACATTGCACAATTTCTTGATATATTGTATTTATTTGTTATGAATATGTTTTTATGTAGATACGATAGCATTCAAATCAGTAAATTGGAGCAAAATCCTTTCATTTCATTATTTTATATTTGTTTATGCTTGTACAATTTGTATGTTTCAGAAATTCACTGCATACTTGCAGAGCCTACTCTTTCATCTGTGTAATTAATCAATTTT